CAACGATGCTTCAGGAGAAACCAGTCAACACAAAGATCTCAGATCTCTGCGCTGATCTCAGAGGAGTTCCTCATGTTAGCTTTCTACCTGATCACAGACGGTGAAGAATCAATTGACTGAAGGTTATTGGTTACTGATTAAGCAAATCATTTAATACATGATTAAGCCAAATAGTGTTTTGTTTACCCATTGAATTTACATTGTTTTCCAATCTTCCAATTGCTCTAAATTAGTTAAAATTTGAGCTCATTTCAAATTCTTCAAGATAAACTTTAGTTCTCAAACATAAAACACATGCCAAACTGTGATACCACTGCACCATTTTATCAATTATAGTTTTCAACTAGGCGTTTTTTTCTTTTTGTACGTAGTAACTTAGTTTAGTTTCACTAACATATTCAAGGGTTTTAACCAAATTATGTTTGATTCTGGGCTGAATTATATATATTTTTAAAATATATAGAATTAAAAATTCTTATTTTGAATAGAAGTTGTGGTGAATTTATTATATATACACATGCAAAGGTTTATGTCTGAGCATGCTTTGCCCTTGATTCCCACTTTCATTGTTTCTAACACACGGCCAGTTGGGGATGTGTCCCTGGTTTTACTTACTGTGGGTAATACACTAAGACGTAATTTGTTTAATATCATGCATGACACGAAAGGTTTGCCTGCTAAAATCAGCAGGACGTCAACGTCCTTCTAAAGTTTGCCAAAGACCATTTGGATGATCCACAGGAATCATGGAAGGAAGTCATCTGGTCAGATTAGATCAATTTTTGTCATAATTCCACTAACAGTTTGGAGAAAGAATGATGAGTACCATCCCAAGAACTCCATCACTACTGTGAAGCATGGGGGTGGTAGCATCATGCTTTGTAGGTGTTTTTTTGCACATGGGACAGACAGGGCAACTGCACTGTATTAAGGAGAGGACTAAACCTGACTGATTTAGAGATCTGTGTTAAGAGGGCCAAAAGCCCTGCTGCAGCGTGTGACCTCTGCAATTGCAATCAAAGACTCCTGTACCAAATATTAACATAAATTTTCACAGGTTTTCAAGTATTTATTTGCAGAAGTAACCTGCAAAAAAATTGTTAAAAAATATCATACATTGTCATTTAGATTTCTTATTTGTCTTACAGTGGACATTCACCTTAGATGAAAATGTCCGACCTCTCTACGATTTCCAAGTGGGAGAATTTACAAATGATGTAAACATACTTGTTTCCCTCACTGTATGTATGCAGACACACAGCTCTAACCTTTCTTTTCCTTCCTTATTCCTCTACAAGGTCCAGATAGCTGAAAAACGTTTCCCTATGTGTTGTACTTATAATGTAATTACAGTAAAATCCCTGCTACTGCCAATCTAGAGCAGGATGGGCAAAAATGGAAGTCTTTGCAGGGCAACACATAACAAGCACAAAACAATGCACACACAAACTCCAATTTTTTTGTGTATTAAATAAAGTAGCGATAAGATTAACTTGGTTCCTTTTACATACATTTTTATTTCACTGCAACTTTTCAAAAACATCTTCACCACTCAAAAAGTAGTTTTGGTAAATATCTTTTATTTTCATCATAAAACAAAAATTCCACAGCTAACTAAATTCAAAGAAAACTTCACAAGAAACTCACAAGCTGCTTTAAGTATTTATAAAGCTGTACCAAACCATGGTCAAAAAACGCTCGTCAGTAAAGCTGACAAAAGACTCTAAAAGGTTAGCAGGACACTCATTGCTAGCAAGAATCAAAAAAGGTTTAAATAATGAGTTCTATGTGAAATAATAGGGTTTCTTGACATTCACGCCATATTCAGAGAGGGCAAGTGTCAGGTCCTCCATCGTCAGAGTGTACTTTTTATCCTGGGGAAAAGAACAAACAAAAATTATGATAAGCTTCTTCTATCACTGAAACTTCTATCACACTGACACATTAGATTTGAAGCGCTGTGTTGGGCCTTACCTTTGTCTTACTCCTGGAGCTCCCTGAAGCAGTTCCCTTCATTTTGCAGTACTGCAGTGCATCATTAGCAATGTCTGAGATAAACTTCTGAGATGCAAGGGAGATCAGGCGGATTCTGTAAAGGTAAAAAAAAATATCAATCCAGTTTTTTTTCCCAAAATCTATAGACTTATTTCCAAAAAAAAATGTACAGCTCATCAAATCTTTACTCATTTTGTTGAGAATATATATTTGCAATTAGTTTGTTTTAAATCGCAAGTCAATGACAGAACAACACAGAGACATAGAAGCATGAACACACACTCAAACTTGAACATCGATCAACTTAATACTCGTGTTTTTTGGACTTCGGAAGGAACCTTCATGAGGGTTACAAGTACTCTATTGAAAAAAGAAAATTCAATAAAAAAGAAAAAAAAACTTGGAAGAATTTCATGCTTCAAAGCCTATATTGTGTCTGGTTTTACTTTAATTGCAGAATAGTCATGTAAAAACTACAACTCTTAAATAAGACTATTTTTTTTCCCAACAGCAAGTCTCAAATCCCAAAATGTATTTTTATTCACACTTTTCTAGAGCCAGAAAACCAACTACTGACAGCACAAGCTGGAAAAGACCTCTCACTGGACGTAGCCAAATTTCTCAAGCCAATACTTGTAAATTGAACTTACATTCTTGGATCAGAAGCCTCAAAGCCTGCCCTGTTTAGGTAATAGCCTGTAACAGCATCAGGAATCTGAAAGCAAATGCACAAAATCCAGATTAAATATATGCACTAGTATAAATCAAAATATTTTCAGCGTTCACAGGAGGCCTATTCTTACAGGGAGCATGAATAATAACCACTACACCTCTATACTATTATTTAGACCTTAATAATCACCCTCAGAGTTAACTACTTTATGATGATGCTTATTCAGATATGATTTCTTCATGTTAAATGCGGGCTGTCTTACTGTTGGAGTGTAATCTTCCAGCTGCATGAGGAAATCCGCTAGAGGTGTGGTAGAGATGGCAGGTCTTATGTCTCCATTTGTGATTCCACTTGGAAGATAAACCCCATTGGAAACTGATGAGTCTGCGGAAGGTGTCACTGCAGGTGCTGAGGCTCCAGCTGGAAATTATAGGGGTTGAATTAATCTTTTATTCGCATTTTGCTAAAGTGATCTGAACATGTTCAAGAGGATAAGAATTAGTCTTTTTTTTATATATATATATATATATATATTAATGCGTTGCCTCTGTTAATATAACTATCAGTTTGCTAAATTTTTTATGTTTCTTTTTTTTTTACCAGTTTGACACATTTTCACATATATGTGCATACATATATGTGTGAATTTATTTTTAAAGACTGATATGGGCTGTAAAATATCAATTCAGTAAATTTTTTGTCTTGATGCACACATGTTTCTTGCAAATTTACTTTTTACCATACTCTGTAAATGCATGCTGCAAAAAGATGGAGAAGTTAAATCAAATTTATTGATTTCAATTTATAGGACACAAGCTCAATTACATATTTGTAGCTGAAATCCATAAGCCTTGGTTTGAAATTTAAAACAGCATAAATGGTTAAAATAAAAAAACAAGTTTAAGCTTATTTAATGGAAAAAACCTTTAGAGTGGGTATAAAAAAATCTGTTTAAGTTGTAATTTTTAATTTTCGCTTTGAGATGAATGTAATAGATAATGTTAAAGTTTAAAAATTACAGTGTGAGCTTTCAAGATTATGAATCATTCTAAACAAAATACAATTAAAATGTTTTTATTGCAATGAAATGGCTCTTATCAAGAGATAGATCAATATCATCTACAAGCTAGACTAAATCTATAATTTTTACTTGCAAAGAAACCTGAATATCGTTTTACTTGAAAACTTTAACAGTGTAAACGACTTTTTTTCTTTTTTTTTTTTGCACAAAAATTTTAACTAAATGTCATGTTTGATATTTTAAAGGTGGGGGACGGTAAAGCAGAAATTTAATTCTTTATAAAGCAGAAGTTCACACTAACTTATGTAAATGCTAAAAAGACTCAACAGCTGATGCAGACATTAGCAAACAGAGAACAACAACACACATTAGCCGAAGTTACAAAACGTTACAATTACTTGTCACTGAAGGGATGCTGCTGGCGTTTGTCGTAGCGTTGTCATTTGCAATGCAGTTACTTGAAGTTGAAGAGGTTGTAGCAGGAACTCCAGTTGTAACAGACTGATTTACGTTGTCAATATTCATGTTGATGTTAGCTAACGTGCTAAACCTCGGTAAGCTAGCTCGAGAATGAGTCTTAAAAATATGAAAGAAGCAAGTCCGCTATATTTACTGGACACACTAGTGTTTACCAGGGTATAAAATAGAAGAAAATGTAATTGGGAGAAATCAAAACGACATAATTTAGCTTTTAGATAGATGGATCTGCTGCTATCGACTAGCCAAAAGCTGAGGTCATGCTACGGTCTCAGTCACGTGACCAGATAGGGAGACGTTTGCGTTTGTCGAGGATGCAAGTTTCTTCTTCTTCTTTTTTATGCCAGTTGGCAAGCAACTTACTGATGCGCATTACCGCCATCTACTGGAGTGAAGTGTACCCGAGGCTTTGCCGAACCTACCGAGGTCGTTCGAGTTGCGTTTGTGGTTCTTGGGAATGTTGGGAGCGTGAAACTCTTTGTGTGTTTGTGTGTGTGTTTTAAAAGGATAAAACTAACTTAAAAAAAACACTATCGTTATAAGATAAAAGTAAAGTTCGTTGTTTTAAAAAATTTCATTTTGGATTAGAGTCTAAGAAAGTGGTTACATCAAGCATCAGCCAAATTAAGACCAGGTGACATGCGTCAACGAATTGCTCCCCATCTTTAAGGTTATATAGACAGGTGTCGTGACGTTATATGTATTTAAATCCGTTTAATTCAACAAAATAAGGACCTTTTTATTCATATTTTGATTAAATATTTGACTGTAAACGTGAGGCTTTGTAGTTTCCCGTGGGCCTTGAATGCATCAGGTGTGTCCAATGAAAAGCGTAAGTGGCGTCAGGAAATAAACTGTTGGGGTGATTCCTTCTGCTTAGGTGTGGACAAAGGAGTTGCATTTTGCATTTATGTTTTCTATTTATCCACCTTTTTTCGGTAAAAGTGGATCAAAGCGATTGAACTCCCGCAGGACCTGACAGGTTTATGGGACAAAACAGGTAAAGAGAAAAAATATATAAGAAAATCCCGTCTGGGTGCCGCTCCGCCTGATCTCCACCTGCATATACCAGAGAAAATGTTATTCCTAGTAGTTTATGATTATTCATTGTTTCATAAATGACAACCATACGAGCTACATTATTGAATTTTAAGGAATCCTCGTTGGTTTAACGCACAGCTGCTTGACTTCTGTCACATATGCAGGAGTCAGACAATTTCATTCCTGTGATAGGGGCGGAGCTAGATGGGGGGCCAGGGGTGGCCATGACCACCCTTAGCTAATCATTGGCCACCCCTGTGGCCACCCTTACCTTTTATTTCCCTCTAATACAGACGTTGGAAGCACTAATACTCTCCTGTGGAATATTTATTTTATTTTTTCATATGTAAGTGCAAATCATCTAGGAGTCTTAAGAGAAATCATAGATAAAAAACTATTTTAATAATACGTATTATATTATCAATTTATGTAGATATTAGTGCTTGTAAATATCAATTTTATACAGAATGATTATTGATAAAATTAAGTAAGTGACATTGGAAAATAATTTTCCCCCTAGAACTCACACCTGAAAGAATTTTTATCCATAATACCTTTTATCTAGAAAGCACGGATTGAAAATGGATATTTACAAAGACTAATATCTACATAAATTGATTATTTAATAAGTTTTTATTAAAATAGTTATTTATCTATGATTTTACTAAAGATTCCTAGATGACCTGTAGAGACACATAATTTTCTCTTTAGCCCATTAAACACTAAATCTAGTTCTGAAAAGAGCATGAATTCTGCACTTAGATTAGATTAAATTACATTAGATGAGCTTTATTGATCTCACAGCGGAGAAATTCACTGGTCACATATTGGCATAGTAATTAAAGAAGGTGCAAACAAGGAGGAAAAGGTGCATTAGGAATAAAAATGTATTTAAAAAAAATAAAATAAAAAATACAAGGGAGTAACACAGAGATTTGAGGTGACATATGTACAATCAGGATGGCTTATATACAGGTGGATTTAGTTTTACATTACAGTGTAGTAGGTAAGGAACAACAGTGAACATCTTTGATGTTAGTATATTGATGTGGATAATTAACCACAAAAAAAATTAAATGTTTTGAATATTCCACTTTAGTATTACTGTTGCTACCGTCTGTATTAGAGGGGGAAAATGGTAGGGGTGGCTAATGATTGGCTAAGGGTGGCCATGGCAACCCCTGGCCACCCGCCAGATCTGATTTGACAGCATATGAATGAGACTGAGCCAAAGTGGAAGGAGGGTCTAGAAAGTTTTCTTTGTGTCAAAAGGTCACAGGAGTCCAAAATGACTTCACCTGTCCGTGTGATCGTTGTGGGGGCTGGTTGTCGAGGGGCGGGCTACGCCCAGTTTGCTACTATTCATCCTAAACGCATGAAGGTGAGGAGAGGTTCCCATTACTTTCACTAGATGTTTTGTTTTGTTGATTACAAAAATTAACTCCAGAAAAAAGCCTCTAAGAAGGAAGGTTGATATAGAAATGTTACTTTTGTAAGTAACCTGCTTATACTAAATGCTTTTATAAAGATATCTATATTCATAACTAAAGATAATTATGAATTTTGTCCATATTGAAATGTTTAGGTTGTTGCTGTAGCTGATCCCAGAAAGTTTGCACGCACCAAACTGCAAAAGCAACACAAAATTGAGGATCAAAACATATTTGAAGGTGAGAATTAATAAAAGAAAATGTAAGCATGTTTTTTTTTATTTTATTTATAAATCTGAACTTAACTGTTGTTTCTTTCTTTTAAATAGACTGGCAAAGCATAGCTGAACTTGAGAAGTTTGCAGATGCTGTGTTGATTTGCACCCCAGATCGCATTCATAAGGTCTACATATGTTTATGTCTGTTTATAGCAAAACATTTCTTCTATTGCATATTATTAAAAAACATTTTATGTTTCCTAGGATCCTGCAGTTGCTTTTGCAAAGAAGGGCTACCACATTCTTCTAGAAAAACCAATGGCAGTAAGTGTTTTTCTGCCAATAAACCCCCAAAATAAAAATTGCACCTACTTTTTTTTAAATTTATATATTTTTTTGTTTATTACATTTTTTTTTTGTAATGTAATAAATGTATGCTTTGATTCTACTTTTCTTTGGCATTGCTGTCACTGCATAACTGAAGACATCAGCAGAGGAATGTAGAGCGATAGTGGAGGCCTGCACTCAGGCTGGTGTGATGCTCTCTGTGGGTCATGTTCTCCGATATGATCCACTTATTCATGAGATCAAGGTTTGTTAATGAGCACATTTGATTGCATATGCATTGGTTTACATTTTTTACACAAGTTTTCTTAAAAAAGGCAGTAAATATATGACATATGTAAAATATGTGGTGGAAATAGTTATGTTGTTTAGATTTTATTTTATTTATTCAAAGTTTCATGCACTATGTATTACTAATGGTTGTTTAAGAGAGTTTTTGAACGACTTTGATCTATTTCTAGGTGCTCATAGATGCTGGAGCGATTGGCGATGTCATCCATATACAGCACCTTGAGCCGGTAAATGCAATCAAATCACATAATATTTAGAAATATTCCCAAGCTTTCATGTCCAAACACTTTTACAAAATGTTTCTAATGGAAGCTGTAGGGATATTTGAGAGTTAGCTTTATACTTTATTTAAACTGGGGTTCTTAATTTTTTTTCTCTCTTTTTACCTGTAGCACTTTGAGATGTTTTGATGGAAAGTGCAGTATAAAATAAATGTATTATTATTATTATTACTATGATGTAAAGATCAGATCTAAATTTGCAAACTCTTCTAAATTGTTTTGCCCGTTTTTAATTTTTTGATAAATAAAATTTCTGTTTTCCATGTTGCACAGGAACACAATAATTTGAATAAAGATGTATTTTTGGGTCAAAGACTTATTTTTTTTATTTAAACATAATCACTGTTATCTTTTGATTAAATTGAATTAAAAAAACATTTTAAAATAAGATATATTGGGGATATACATGGATGAGGCCTTACATTATTACCAATTGCACATGGAGGGAATAATGGCGATTGCTTTCATCATCATGTAAGTAGATGGAATATTAAAAACTCTGATTTGATCCTGGAAGCAGAAAATTTGTCCAGGATTTAAATGAGTTTGTTCAGGTCCAAATTGTGAAGATGACTGCCTACTGTGGAATGTTCCTCATCATTGTTTACCAGAAGTGGTTCAGGGAATAAAAATGCCCATCACTCCTCACCAAATTGGTCGTAATGGAAAGCCTCATTGGTTTATATGTTTTTTTGTACACCTTTTTGCAAACGTTGACTTTAACTGAACCCTCCAAACATCTGAAATGGGATGAATCTCTTGCTCTAGGTTGGGTTTTATCACTTTGCTCACTCGTTTGTTCGAGGTAACTGGAGGAATGAGGCGGAGAGCTCTTTTGCTCTTCTGGCGAAATCGTGCCATGACATCGACCTGATACATCACTGGGCTGGAGCCCGCAGGTACCCATAAAAACTATAGTAGTCAATGATAAACCTGGCTTAATTGTTTCTGAGAGATTACACACTTTTGTCCCTGTCATAACATGACTTTATGTAACTGGTATATAGTATTTTTGTAGAGGTCATATTGTCAGTATTTACAACACTTTAAATCTGCACCTGCATATCCTGATAATAAATCATTAACTTTTGTTCCTGACAGGTGTGTAAAAGTGTCATCTTTTGGATCTGTTAGTCACTTCCGGAAAGAAAAGAAGGTGCGTCCACACTATGAGTGCTACTCTGTTTATATCTGTGTGTATGTCTGTAAAAAAATGTTTACGTAAAGAAAAATGATGGAAAAAAAAAAAACTTCAATTGTATTTTTAGTCTACTTCTGATCTGTTTTTCCAAAATATTAATGTCAGTTTTTGCTATATGTTTCAAATGCCTATCTCTATGGACACATTTGTGGACTTTTTATTTTTTTTTATTTTTCCTCTGCTACTGATGTAAAATGTTTTGAGTCCTGTCTGTGATTCTTTTTTGTTGAAGATAGATGGATCTTAACATTTTGCATCAGCTGTGTTCTTTGATTACTTCTGCTGCACAGATGAGACTCGGCTTAATAGTTTTCCTCAGCCCACAGGCGCTGGCGATCGCTGCATCGATTGTTCGGTTGAAGGAAACTGTCCGTACTCTGCGTGCAAAATTTACTTGAACAGTGTGAAGAAGGTAAACATAATGTTACGCATCATTTCCTTTAACATTGGGGTCATGAGTTCCTGACCTCCTGTCCATATTTTCTTAAGGGTCACACTGGTTGGCCGGTGTCGGTCATCTGTCCAAACTCCGTCCCAGACATTGAGTCAGTAACCGAGGCCCTGAAGACTGGACCGTATGGCCGCTGCGTCTATGATTGTGACAATGATGTCTGCAGTAACCAGGTTGAACAACGCATTATCTCTGTAACATTTATATTCTCACACCCATCATACAGAAAAACTATGTCATTAAAAAAATAAAAAAAATCTGATTAACATAAATCAAGCCAAAAAAAGTTTATCCTAGATATATCTAGGATCCATTAATAAATATAAGGAATCTTTAGCTATTCAAAGACATTTTATGAAATAAAACCAGGTGAGGCAAAAACTTTTCTGCTTGAGGAGTTCTGGATGGAGCATACTGACAATACAATACAATTTTTTATTTTTAATCCTAGATGCAAATTATTTATATATTTTTTACAATCTTGATATAATTACCGCTCTAAGTGGGTTGCTCTGTCAGCTGAAGCCATGTTTTACAGTCCCTGAACTCCAATTAACCATTAACAGATCACTAAATTAGTTGACGATTATTTCAATCATCTATTAATCACGATGAATCCATTATTTGTTTCAGCCATATTTGTCTCCTGTTTTTGTCCTTAGTAAATCCCCTCCATACTCAGGCTGTCAATAATCACTGCTGCCACCCTCTGGTTTAGTGGGGAACTACTTGTTCCACCAAATATCCCTATCTTACAATGTAAGAAAATCTTTTTTTTTAATCCTGTTGCGAGATTATGATCTGGATCATCACCAAAATTTAATGGGTTGCTTATTGGTATGGGGGACAGCTCTGATAAAAATTTTTATTAAAATCCTACATAACTGTTCAAGTTATCCTGTACATAAACGACAAACAGGCGCACACACACACACACACACACAATCTCCTAAAAACATAACCTCTTTAGCAGGAGGTAATAAGTTTACTTTAAGGGAAATATAAAAATATAAATGATCACAACTCATCTTAGGAATGCCATTAGCTGATTAACTTTTGGCTTAGTTTACTGTACAATCTCCCATCTGTGACGAAATGATTTGATTTGTGCTATAAAGACTGTCTGCAGTTAAACACACTGAATCACTTGCCATTGCTGTAATATAATTCTGTTATCCAAAACAGGAACTCTCTGTTTTCTTTCCACTGAAACAGAAACAAATGAAGATGTGTTTGTGTAAAATGATTTGGAGTGACTTTATATATATTTAGATCATAACTGTGATGATGCATTACATAAAAAATATCTTATTGGTTTGATTTTATGTTTGATTTTTTTTAGCTTCCCACTCTGAAAAGAAGCCCTTTCTGTACAACAAAATCTGGTTTAAATTGTTCTCCATCTAAGGAAACTCAAAATGTTGCCCTCTTTTCCACAAAGCACCTTGATATGAATACAATTTAATAAAATTGACTTTGGCAAATTTCAAATATCAGTGATCTAAACTGTGTCCAGAATCACAACTTGTTTTATTTTTCTCTGTTCATCTGGGATTTTCCTACAGGTGGTAAACATGGAGTTTGAAGGGGGCCTGACGGCAGCCTTCACTATGGTGGCTTTCACTGAAGAGATCTGCCAACGGAAAACTACTATATATGGCAGCAGAGTAGGTTTACGCTCTTATTTGAATAGAACATGGTTTTGTCTAACGGATGCCTTTGACTTTGAGTATTTTTAAAACCAAAATTCTAGATGTGTTTAATGGGATTTTTTGTAACAGACAAACACAAATATATATATATATATATATATATATATATATACACACACACAAACACATTAGTGGTGGGTATAGATGATTTAAAAAAAGTCTAGATTAATATTACTGTAATCTTTGAATTAATCTAGATTAAATTCGCTCATTTGAACTCTGCTAAAGAAATTCATATTCATGATGTGTGTGCTACCTAGATAACAAGTAAAAATAATTCATTTTCCCTGAAACAAACCCGGCATCTTTTTAGCTGCATCCTTGTCAAACATGTTCTCAGACGCAGGCAGAGTTTCATGGTCGGATATTATTAATGATCACACAGATCCCTTCATTTCCGAAAAAGTTAATCAACAAACATCCTACTTTGCCACAATCCTTGTCCAAAATCAACAACTTTGCTATCTGTAAGTTTCAACTGTTTCTCTGCAGCACAGCAGCACTTTGATTGATAAACTCAATCAGCTGATTTTACTCACAGCCTGCTGGCTGCTTTTTTGTTCATCTGTAATTGATCAGCTGGATTCCCCAACCTTGGGCTTTTCTTCAAGTCATCGGTGAAGTTTTTCTAGTTGTTACGGCTTCTCTTGCAAACCAGAAAACTCTGTGAGTGCTTTTTATTTTTAAGTGAGTCGAAAAGCTCCTCCCAAAAGGTACTTTCTTTTTAAATTTTAGGTAACTAAAACTAAACTAACTAAAGTTACCTAAAATTTAAAAAGAAAGTACCTTTTGGGAGGAGCTTTTCGACTCACTTAAAAATAAAAAGCACTCACAGAGTTTTCTGGTTTCAGAAGGTGTTTTCTTTACTAATAAAAATAACTGAAATAATCTCTAAGTTGACTTACAAAAAAATGTAAATATAAACATTAATTGGTGGTAGAAAAACAGTTTCACTATTCACTCTTTCACCAAACATTCAGATCAAACACAGCAGCTGCTTTTGCTAATTAATCACCGCAGGAAGCGGACTGACAATGAGGGTCTAATAAGATAAATAACAACAGACCTATCATTCACATAACCTTAGATCTGTAGCATTAATAATTTATCAGAAAATAAATAATCCTTAAGAACCTCCAAAAACACGTCACGTTCGATGTGGTAATTTCACAGCACGTCCACACAGGTTGGAAGTCTGATTCGTTTTCGCCCGCAGACAGGCTCGGACTGGTAATCTGTGATACCAAGTATTTACCAGGTGGGCCGGTCCTAATTTCAGCGTGCGAGGGCCGGCCCTCCTTAAATCATAACGGCCCCAACACTTATGCCGAAGCACCTACCTGTGACAGAAAATAACTCAAGGAGCTCAGGAAGTAATACAATGTTAGCTACCTAAATGATGCATGCAGCATATATAGCCCTTCCTTGTCATGCACATTCTTGTGACGGTTGGCATATGGTTTAATTTTCTATTTCTTCAATCTGTAAAATCCTATTTCTTCTTAAGTGTAGATGGAAAATGACAGGGCAGTCCGAGGCTGCCCCCAGATATACATCAGCTAAAATATCAAGATGAAGGTCATCATTAGTATAGAGCCAGCTCCCAACCTACCTGTGAGAAAAGATGTTATTTTTTTATGGCCCGATAAGAGTCTGGTTTTAACCCCGAAAGCGGCCCACCACTAATATACATATTTATTATGTCTTGTCAAACACATTTTGAAAGTATGTTTGTTGGGGTGGTGGTTTGATGCTTTGTTCTCCGTCTTGAAGCTTTGCATTCTGAAGCTTTGTCTCATATTAAAGTCCATTCATCTCTTGATATTGAATCTCTGTACCCTACTTTAAACATCTCTCTGTCTCTAAAACTCCTGATTGCATTTTGTTGTCTGGTTTTATTCAGGGCAGTAGAGCAAGAAGTGGTATTAAAAAAAAAAAAAAAGTTTTTCTTTTGATAACCATGTACTGTATGGTTCTTCCTCACCTCTATATATTTGGACTTGTTGGTGTTAGACTATTGAATGAAATGCCCAACAAAGCAGGTTAATGGATTTAACTTTGGAAAATGTAGAGAAACTTAAAGGTATCTGCTGACTCTAATGTGAAACACATTCAATTTCCTCTTAGGGAATAATAAAGTATTTTTTATTTACCGTAGACAATGCTTAAATTCTCTAAGCTACTTATAAATGGTGAGTTTTTGTTGGTATTTTTCTTCTTCTGCCTGCTGCCTAATAAACTGTGTCCTCATAGGGGGAGTTGTCTTATAACGGCAGTGAGATACGCGTGTTTGACTTTCTGACCCAGAGATCCACAAAGCACACAGCAAGCTGGGAAGCTGCCAAGCACTATGGCATGAGCGGGCACGGTGGGGCGGACTATCACCTCATCAACACTTTTATTTCTGCAGTGGCTGTGAGTCTAATTTTTATTATTGATCTTCATATGAAAAGCAGCTTTTGGAATAAGTTTGAGTTTAGATTTTTCACAGCAGACCTAATTATTTCCTGCATTTTTTCTGTTTTGTTCGTAGAACAATGACCCATCCATGATCCGATCAGGCCCTGAGGAGACTCTGATCAGCCATTTGCTGGTGTTTGAAGCTGAGCGATCGAGGGTGGAGAACAGGGTGGTGTACTGTGGAGATGGCGCTAGAAGCTGAAGGACTATTAATCAACATGCCATGTTTTCATTTCAGGGACCCAGATCATGTGTGGGATGTGATTAATTGATTAATGAATTGTTTGATTAAAAGGAAATCTGCTCCAATGAAAGTCACTACAATCTGGATGTTATAACTACTGATTAGTTTTGCACTGTGCCTTAAAAATGTCTGTATCTGTAATTTTCCTACTTTGAGGAGCTTCTTGTGATTCTGTGGGACTGAATACCTCATTAATTAATAAAGAGACATAATAAAGCTTAACTTGACAAAGTTAATGAATTATCTTGCATTTGTATTGATAATTACTTTTTACACACACACAAAAAAAATAATAATTTCCTTTTTAATATTTTACATTTTTCAGCTGTATGTTTTTCTGGCTCTGTGAAGATATACTCAATGTTGAGAATTGGTGCTGATAATTGAGCCATTTTTGCAGAAATCCTAAATGTCTGTTTAAAACAACCTGGTTTAAAAATCCTATTTGGGTTCAATTCAAACCATTGGGTGTCACTATTGAGCTCTATTGTGTGATGTGAACAGGTTGATGGATTGGCAGCTGTTTGCTCAAGTTAACCGAGATGTTATCTATCACTGAAACCTCTCAAAATTATGTAAAATATGTGAAACACGACAGACAAGAACAGTTATATATGAATCAGTACAAAGAGACAGAAATAATGCTTCAGGAATTCTAGTACACGCTGTATCGTTCAGTGCAGGGAACAGAAAACTCATGGACCCTTTCATTAATTACACACAGATGAGTTTCTGATTCCCAGCTTTTCTTTTTCTCTTAAATCAACCACTCAATGTTGAAGTTAAAGGAGTGCAGCATTTATATACTTCAAGCTTTCTCACGTTTCATCATGCTCCATCCACAAACTTCAGCTTTATATGTCAAACCAACACAAACTTGTATTTAACTACAGAAGCATGCCTCTAAAACTTTCTGAAAAAAAAAAAAACAAGCATATGTAACTATCCCTTTTTAAGATGACGCCATAAAATGAAATCCGATGTAAAGCCAGAAATAAAACTGCTGTGAAATTAACAGCAGGGTAGAGTCAAAAAATTAAATATACCTTTTTTTTTTTTTAACTTTGACTGATTACAGTGCAGTTGATAATTCAAATCATCGGGAAATGATTAAAGCAAGCCTCTGACCTAATTGACAGCTTGGATACAGAGAAGTGTTCAGCTCTATGGAAACTGGAGGAACTACAGAGACCTACAGCCAGGGTAGAAAAAATATACATCAGGAAGGAAGAAAACAACACAGCACCCTGAATACATCATCCTGCATGGGGACAGATTTATGATGCATAAATACTTGTTCAGCAAGGCCAGACACATTGAAAGGAAAATGCTTAAAACTATGTTTAATCCTGGAGTAATATCTATTTAAGGCTGAAAACACTTGATGGTGGAATGACTGATCCCCATCCGACAGAACAATGGCCATAAATGGAACTGAGACTCAGAGTCAGGCTGGAATACAGAATATTGATGTACTCTCATGACCCAATCAAAGTCCAGATCTAAATTCAACCCAGAATTTGTAGCTTTTCACAGATGCATAAGTTCAGTCTTTAACTTCATTGCAAAAAAGAGGCGAAATAAAAGTCCTTTTTTCATATGCAAACCTGTCAGAGACACATCCTAAAAGACTGAAGCAAAGGATACTTTTACATAGATCTTCTAACACAAATGTATAAATGACAGATTATGATTTGTTAAAAACCATGAAGCCACCTAATTCTTTCATTTTACTTCATGATTATTTGCTAAAACATTTAAAGATCAGATTAAAAATCTGATTTTACAATCAGGATGTGTTCTACATTTACCCAGTTTCGCTTGTTTTCCATTGGATGTGTAGGATTGAGTAATTTCCTGTGTCCAGCAGCTTTCTAACTGTGCTTCACACTTCCTCCCAACATTTTGCCCTGTTTTCTTTTTCCATTCCACAATGTGAAAACAAAACCAAGTTAGAAAATACAATAAAGAAGTCAATGTAATTTAAAGAAATCTACATCTAATATTTCAAAAGTTCTTTTTTTTTTTTTATCAAACTTACATTTTTTCAGATGAAACCAACTACCTCCAGACGTACAAAAAATAAATAAATAAATAAATTTGGAGCCCAGATCCAAAGAAATTAAACTACAGGTAAGAATCAGATTTACTGACATCTGTCAAACTGGAAAGAGTTGCAAAACCATTTCTAGGAATTTAACGACAGACATGGAGAGTCATTATTTGCAAATCAAGAAAACATGGAACTTTACTGAACCTTCCCAGCATTGGCAAACAGACATTATTTGAAGAGAGAATCAGTGACTCAACTAGGAGTGAAAAAATCTCAGAATATAGTTCTGCAGGCTTCCTCCTTCTTAGTTAAAGCTAGTATTCATGATAAATAAAACAACGATAAAGTGGTTTTAAAACAGAGACTTTGAAAAAATGGGGTTGGGCTCCATGAGACATGTTCAAGGCAGAAACAGGTGCTGGCCGAATATAATACAAAGTTTTCTTGAAAAAAAAACATTTTTCTTAGGGTGTTGAATAAAAATAAATTTCCAATCAGGGTGAATCGTGTTGGAACCCATTGATAAGTAGGTTAAAGCAGTTAAAGATAATACTGCTTAATCCTTTATTTTAGCTTTGTGAAATGTTGAACTATTTTACCAGTGATTTTACGTGAGCAAACATTAGTCAGTTAGCTATAGTGCAAAACATCATCAGTTTCATTATCTAATAACCTGCAGTTTAATCTACTGGGCAAATATGAACTTTAACCTTCTAGAGTGATTCATTCTACTGATATCTGTGATTCTTAATCACAATCAAACTGAATAGCTTCCCACTTTTTTTTATCAGGACCTCACATTGCATTATGCAGGGAGGTGTCCTTAATTACCCTGCAGAAATCATAGTGTAAATAAGAGCGTACCATTCCTGGACCTTTGCAACACATGCAGGATGACTAACTCCATATTATATCCTGCAGTCCCTACTCACGGAGGGATTATGAAGTGTTGAAGGTTGTATTGTCCAAGTTATAACTTTGGAAAGAAGGGTGTGTAGAGGACTATGACGAAATGGTTGAATTAGAAAAAAACTTTGACCTCCTGCCAGGAAGGGGATTACGGGAGTGATGGGAGGTGGCACACCTTCAGGCAGGTCATTGTATTCCATTTACTGGGATTTGAATGGGACATTTTAGAGAAAACTGAAAGGATAGATTTCTGACTCATGATGGAGATTTATCCCTTAGGTTTTTACTGATAGTAATGAAATGCCTCCTTTATATTATCAGTTAAATAGACTAAAGACATAAGAGCAGTTCGCCAACTGAGTCAGCAGCTGCATTTTTCAGTGACTCAACCCATCCACTGAGCCCTTTCGTTTCCCTGCGCCCTGCCCTCCACCCTCCTTCACACACAGGCATGACATTAATATGTTTACCACAGGCTGGAGCCTCACGACATCATCACTTCCATTACTTAGAAATATCCTCAAATCACACAAAAGCAGAGAGTGAAGTTTTTCGAGGGATGTTAAATTCATCTACCACATTTTTGAATACTTGTTTTTCTTTCACTACCTCATTATCTTTTTTTTTTGCCTAGAGTGCCGTTTCTTCCCATTGATGAAAAGACTGATGACATGCTGTGACGAATGAGGTGGTGATTTATCTGCGGAGCTGCTTATCCTATAATCTTCTGAGCAGTTTACTTCATGAAACAAACCCGTTGCCAGGCACAGACATCTCTCCCTGCTCTGACCTGATTTTTCCTTCCTTCTGACTAACGTCACAGTTCCTCAGTACCAGAGAGGCACCCTTGAAGGAGGAAGTGGAGGAGGAAGGCATGGAGGGGAGCAATAAACTGTAAAACATGGAACAGTCTGGCTCCGTCTGTGACTCAACAGGAAACAACAGAGCTGAAGTGAGTGAGGTGAGAGACGGAAAGGGAGGAGGGTGAAGAGAGGAGAAGGAGTGAGGGAAAAAAAAAAAGATTGGCTGCGTCATACTTCAAAACTTCAGGCATTTAAGTTGAGAGACTGACCAATCTGCTCAGCAGGCTTATTACGTAGTAAATCATCACAGAGACACACTGTAGATAAACATCTAACAAAGTCATCACCAAAACTTTACTGATTTCTGCTTCCCTAAAGACAACTTTGTGTATCTTGCGTTGAGTCAATCACAGACATGATGTCAAAGTTGTGCATTTTTCAAATATGGACATTTGTGTCAGTCTTGTCGTTCAGACAGAAACAGGTTAGAATCTACTTGACGAGCTTAGCTCTATCAAGTAATGAGTTCAGTGGCAGTCCTAGCCTTTTTTATTGCCCCGGGTAAATTAACCTAACATCTCTCTCCCTCTTTTCTTTCATCTTTTGAACCCCTGAGAGCTTCCCTTTATGCTTAGCGCCACTGCTCCTCCATGAAAACACTCGCTCCTCCTCAAAAAGCCGTGCGCGCACGTGGGAGTGCATGCTGGAACATCTGGAGGGAGGCGGTGAGAGGACAAAGGAAGGAGTGGGCTGTGTTTTTGGAGGTGGTGGTGGGCGGGCTTATTTGTAATCTGCCTCTGCTTTTGATTCATATCATTTACACATGCAGAAAAGCTGTTATAATGAAAAAATGCATTTTTCTTTTGTAATTCACTGCTGTGGCATCCACTGGCCCTATGAGCCCAGCTGTGGTGCAAGGTGCAAGTGTGCCCTCAGCAGGGTGATTTTATGCCCATGCCATCCTGTATGGCAAAGCTGCCTTGGACGGCTGCCCATGTCACCTGTATCAGAACGGTACAAGCAGTTCAAGTTAAATCAACATTTTTTTTATTATTATTTCCATTGGACTCTAATGAAACAACACATTTATTTGCTGGAATTAAACCTTACATTTTCTGTGTTTTATTACTATATAATGCAGAGCAACACATAGCTGTGAAGTGTGAAGCAGACAATAAAGCATGTAGGCTTTTTAAAATGTTAAAAGCAAAACTTATTTTCATTTACATATGGGTGCTTCCTCATCAATCATTTAATTATTCACACTGTCCATTAGTTTACTGTTTGTTTATTCTCCATCACAGCTCCGGTAACAAAACTTTAGCAGCCATGAAAAAACAACAACAACAACAACAAAAAAAAAAAACACATTCACTTAATTTTTCTTTGTTAATATCCAGAAAAGGGTGCAACATAACATAACAAAAAGTACCCTTCAAAATAACATCAAACAAATG